TACCTTTGTTCTTAAATAGTGATAAAGGACGTGCAGTTCTACCGTGTTACAGCGATACAGGGAAATAAATAGAGAATAAACAGAAAGAAAAACAATAAAAAGAGAGAGACCAAGAAATGGAGTTGTTACAGCGATACAGGCAAATATATAGAGAATAAACAGACAAAAAAAAAAAAAAAACAATAAAAAGAGAGAGACCAAGAAGTGGAGTCGTCCTCCCTCCTCTTCGGTCTCCATCTCTACTAAAATTTAGGCAAAATGCTAAGAAAAATATCCCCGTCTATTCTTCTTCCTCTCCACATGTTTATAAATGATGCAATAACAGGAATAATAAGCGCAAAGGCATTGGTTTTAGATCCTTTATGACAGGGTTGAATCCGATTTCTCCCAGCGAATAATTCGTTTTGATCTATAAGTCTGATTTTAAGGAATGAATCTATTCTCCCTTATTTTTACTTTTCTCCCCCATTTTTACTTTTCTCCCCCATTTTACCTCCCCCACTCTTACTATTCTCTTCCACTTTTTTTCTCTTCTCCCCACTCTTACTATTCTCCCCACTTTTTTTCTCTTCTCCCCCACTCTTACTATTCTCCCCCACTCTTACTCTTTCCCTCCACGTTTACTATTTCTCCCCACTTTTTCTCTTCTCCCCCACTCTTACTATTCTCCCCACCTTTACCCCCCCCACTTTTACTTCTCCCCACTCTTACTTCCCCCCCACTTTTACTATTCTCCCCCACTCTTACTTCCCCCCCCCTCCCTCCTTTACCATTCTCCCCCACTCTACGATTCTCCCCACTCTTCTCTCAAGGGTCGAGGACACGCTTAGCCTCTGTGGCGGTGACGTGAAGCCAGCCCCTTTCCTGCCGTCCCTGAAGGTGCCCAACCACGCCCGCCACGCCCGCACAATGAGCCATCCTCCTGCTTATTCCAGGTGAGTAGGATGTGAGGATGGAGGTTTACAGGTCGTCTTTTTTTTTTAGGATTCTTTTATCTGTGTGGTCTTTTGGAGGCATTAGTGGTTGTAGGGTTTGGTAGGATGGTATTGGGATGTGATATGTCTGTTAATTTATCGTTGGATTTTATGTTCATACTTATGAATTGATGATGGATTATATATGCATACACACACGCACACGCACACGCGCACACGCACACGCACACGCACACACGCACACACACACACACACACACACACTCACACGCACACACACACACACACACACACACACACACACACACACATATATATATAATATATATATATATATATATATATATATATATATATATATATATATATATATATATATATATATATATATATATATATATGAATAGAACGAGCATTAGCCGTTCGCTTCCTGTCCAAAGGACGAGAAGAGAACACGAGAATTGATCTCGTTTGCCCGCAGGTTCCTCTCGAGCCGCCGGAGTACAGCCAGGCGCCCTCCGCCCCGCCCGCGGACGACGGCTTCCAGCCCGGGCCGCCCAAGTACCCCGGGGAGAGTTTCTCGCAGAAAGCTCCCCTGAATCCCTCGGGGGAAGTGGGCAACCCGCCCCCTGAGCCGCCGCCGGCCTTCTACAACCCCCCTCCCTACTCCCCGCCTTCTGGAGGGGCGTTCGGCCAGCCGCCCGCGAACCCGGCGCCGCCCTACAGCCAGCCGTACCCAGCGGCGACGCCTGCGCCAGCCTACAGCCAGTTCCCGCCTCCCCAGCAGGTGGCGACGTACGGCCAACAGCAGCACCCTGTGGCGCCCCCCACGTTCGCCCCGCCCGCCGCCCCCGTGCAGGTGGTGGTGGCGCAGACGCTGCCGCCGGGGATCTGCACCGTCTGCAGGGTAAGGTCGGGGCCGTGAAAGCCTCTATCCGCCTGCTAATTCCTTTTCAAAATCTTATTACGCGATTTTCCTTGTGCTTTGGTCGTTGATAGGAAAAAGGAAGTCATGAATGTATAGGTAATTATAAGCCTCACCTTTTGATAAGAGCTAGTTATGACAACAAAATAGGACCTGTTTCCTAGAGGCAAACCACTCACGCACATCTTCATTTTCTTACAAACAATGAGACGATTTCCCCTTCACCACCGCAGAAAGGGAAGATGGAGGAGAGTCCCACTTGCTGCACGTGCTTCTGGTGCTTGCTCTGCCTTCCGTGCTTCATCCTGCCGAGCCTCCTGATCTACCTGTGCTGCTGCCGCGAACCCAAGTGCACCAACTGCGGCTACAGCCCCTAGCGAGTCCCGCCGCCATCTGCTCATTTCGTCTGACGAGAAAACTGTGATTCCTCCCATTCCAAGCTGGTTCCTCCCATTCCAAGCTGGTTCCTCCCATTCCAGGCTGGTTCCTCCCATTCCAAGTTGACAAAGAGACGTCCTGTCCTTGATATTTGTTCCGATACTAAACCTTGGCGTACTGGCTGACCCAAAAAAACCTCACCATTTGGTATAAGAACTTCTAATTCCACGTCTTCCTTCGATTAAAAACAATAATATTCGCATTATATTGTTATATAGTCCTAGAGCTTAGGATGCACTAGATCCGTGGTCGTCGCTAGTCCTTTTCTATCCGATGGACCAAAGCTTTGCTAAAGGCCCTGTCACACTAGCACTTTTTCCGTCAATTTCTGGGGTTCCGTCTGAATCTGAGGCTTTCCGCAAGGATCGTCTGCAAACGGAACGCCTCCCAGACCAAGACGGTTACGACCGTTTCCGTCTGACTAATTTCCGTGTTGATCTTGTGCTATTAATAAATTAGAAAGGAAGAGTAAATGTAAACATAAGCTAATATCTCAGAACATTCGTATATGCAATATACATCATCATATTTCTTTAAAATAACGTAATATGTATGAGAATGTTCGTGTGATTCCCGGGACCTCACTCCGATAGCGCCATGTTTGTTTACATGATTTTCATACGTAGTTCATTCGGAAACGCAAAAAAATGACGGAAAAAGTGCTAGTGTGATAGAGCCTTAACCCAAATCCAGATTCAAAGAGGTGTTTCCTTTCTTATGGATGGATTTTATAGTTAAAAAAAAAAATATTTGTGACCTTGACACAGGCATACTTTTTTCAAACGTTCGGTACTCTCATATTTTTCCATCTGAGAACAGGTCCCAATTTTCGTACTCTTCAGATTTAGACTCAAAGCTAGATGAACAATTTTGTATGTAGACAGAACAACTTGCGTGCATATATTTATATATATTTTCTTTACGGCTCCAATTTCCTGACACACTGCCATGCGAGACAATGTGGTGACGTAGGAATGGCCGGGGCTAAACTCAAGTACTGTGTGGCACTTTGTAACTTTTGTGAATGTTTGTTGTACAGTTGTGGAAGGTAAAGTGGCATAGCCATTTGACGGTGAATCCTTGTCGAAACTAAATAACGTTATTATATAAGAATTAGTATATGTGCCTCTTAATATAATTCGAACAGAATGACTGTGTATCGTTTCTCCTTTCAGACTTACATGCGGAATAAGTAATTGGGAAAAAATCGTATCTTTGACATTTATATCGGAAGCAAGAATATGGTACCTCTATACCACAGTGAACTAATACCGCTGTCATTGATTAAACAAGTCCTCTAACGTAAATAATGCAGGAGTTACAAATACAGGCAATATTGACAGTGACCACATATCAGAATCGAAATAAATTACATCTCAGAAGGGAAAACAATAGACTTCCCGAACCTAGGTCACGTGAAGGCCAGAACAGCTGACCTTAGCCATGACATCAACCACTCATCCTAAGACCCTGTTCAGACGAGCAACTTTAGCAGTCGCGCCACTAGAGTCGCTGCGTCTGAACAGGGTCTAAGTTCCCGTTGACGAAGATCCTGACATGGACAAAAGCAAATTTTCAATAACCTTTCGGAAAAAACGGTATATTCCAAGACGTAGGGTCATGAGAATAACGTCAGGCATGGAGAAAACAGCGGTAACAGAACTCACAGACTAGGAATAATAATGGTGATAAGCTAGAGAGAAGAGAAAGACAAAGAAGAGAGAGAGAGAGAGAAGAGAGAGAGAGAGGAGAGAGAGAGAGAGAGAGAGAGAGAGAGAGAAGAGAGAGAGAGAGAGAGAGAGAGAGAGAGAGAGAGAAGAGAGAGAGAAAGAGAGAGAGAGGAGAGAGAGAGAGAGAGAGAGAGAGAGAGAGAGAGAGAGAGAGAGAGAGAGAGAGAGAGAGAGAGGAGAGAAGAGAGAGAGAGAGAGAGAGAGAGAGAGAGAAGAGAGAAAGAAAGAGAAAGAGAGAGAGAGAGAGAGAAAGAAAGAGAAAGAGACATATAACAAGAGAGAAAATAACATAGAGGGACATAACAGTTGAAATGGCCAATCACGGCCAGAAATAACCGCACTATGAAACACATCTCAACGCAGGAAATAAAGAGAAACCAAAAGGCGTGAATATTACCAAAAGGAGGAACATAACCTTGACAAAATAGCTTCAACATGATCTTCTGTCGCTCTCTTTTAATCTGTCTGTCTGTCACTTTCTTTTGATCTGTCTATCTGTCGCTCTCTTTTAATCTGTTTATCTGTCTTTTATGTTAGTTACAGGAGAAATCATCTTTAAAACTAGCTAAACGCTTAAACAAATATCTTGAAGACAGTAAAACTCCGATAGTTTGGAGAAATGTAATAAGCATTTGGATACGAACAGTGGATACAAAAGATATAAAAGAATCAGCGATGCATGAGTTTCATATCATTTATATAAAAGTCAGTCACAGACGTCAAGATAAATGGCATTTCCTGTACACTAGATTGCAACCAGACCAGGAAATAGCTGGGTATAAGCACGAGATTCTCCACAGACCACATCTAAAAGTTAAAGGAGGAGACATCAAAACATTCTGTATATACCGACAGTCTACGAAAACACATTTCGAAAACTGTTCACTGCACTATTAAATGACAGTATTAGAACACATTAAAACGCATTCGACTCTACACATAGCTGCAGTATTAGAAGCTATTCGTAAACAA